AAAAAAAAAAACGTCTGTCCTGCAAGGATAACAAGTTCAGTTTTTCTGTACGAGTGCCATAATCATCATCAGCTCTTCGTTGGATTTTTTTTAATTTGTTGAATATATGGTGCACATACCGGTGGAACTCACCATAAAACCGCTCTATATAAAGTCGGTTCAAAGGCGTTTTAGGCAAAGTTTCCATGGACGATTTTTCTAGAGAAATTCACTTACCAGTTTATACTAAAAAGGGAAGTCTTCAAAAGCTATACTTTGGGCACATTGAAACGCGAACGACTTACAAGTGAAGTGAAAGAAACGACCATGTTACAGTCGGCCTACCTTGAAACAGGAATATATCTCATGTTGGCAAAACACCCTTCAACATTTTAAAAAACTCGAATTTTATAGATCTTTTAAAACCGATCATACCTCCTCTAGTTACTTAGACTTAACAAAAGGAACAGCTGGGAGAAGGGCTTTAGTAAAACTACGAATAAGCCTGAATCACAAACTAATGATAGAAATAGGCAGATACGATCAAACTACGAAGGATAATAGGCATTGCCCTTTTTGTGGATGCAATGTAATAGAAGATGAAGTCCACTTTGTTTTTCAATGTCCTACATACTCTATGATTAGGAATAAATTTTACTATAAAGTCAAGACTCTGATTCCAAATATTACCCAGTTACCTATAAACGGTTTGATCAATGAACTAATGAACTCTTCTAATTACTTTATCAAAATATATTTCAGCTTGTTTTGATGTTCGTGACAAATTATTATCAAAGTAACGTAATTGTCATGTGTTGTAATTTTGATTCCTAAACATAGCTTTTGCCATACTGTATGTGTTTGTATGGTCATGCAAGTAAAGCTCGTTGTTGTTGTTATTTGAGACGCATCTCATTTTTCCTCGTATGAATGCGGCCCTATTACCTCTTAACACTGATTTCGATAACCCTTTACCCTAAGCTCGCTTTCAGCCGCTAGCTGTCTCTCCTTGAAGTTTACCACCTACCTTTTTTTCGTTTGTTATTACTTACCGTATTTACTCGAATAGACGCCGCGGCGTTTATTTCATTTTTCGCGATCCAGCTGCGGCGTTTATTCGAAGGCGGCGTGTATTCGGGGGCGGCGTTTATTCAAAAATCACTTTAGTCAGTATTAAATATCGTACTACATATGGTAGCCTGCGAAAACATCCGTTTCTCCTCGCTCTTATACATATGGTAACTTTTTTGAAAACTTTATTGAAGCGAACGCTGAAAACAAACTTTGTACACGAGTCACTGGAAAGAGAAAGAGAGAAGTCAGCCTTGTAGTACCAGCGAAGTTCTCTGCATTAACAGCAGAATTACGCGTCGCAAAAATTCTTGAAAGAGAACTTAACACAAGAGCAAAAAAGTAAAGTCGCTTTGAACTAAAAAATGTTGTTCTAAAAGAAAATAGATTTCCATTGCTGGTTTAAACTTGAAATAGACTTTTCTTTAATGATTATTATAAATCATTATTTCCTCAAATAAACGCCGCACCGTAGGGCGGAGTCTATTCGGGGGCGGCGTCTATTAATATTTTGAGTCTCAAGTGCGGCGTCTATTTGAGGGCGGCGTTTATTCGAGTAAATACGGTATTCCTTTATTTTTTTTGTCCATTTATTCCTGCTTATTTCTGAAATCCCTAAAAGGGCCCATTTAATATTGCACGCTATTCTTTATTTTAAATAGTAACGTCTTAGCTTGACCTCTTCATTATATGTAAGACCCTGAAGAAGGAAGCCGTGTCTTCCGAAATATTGGTAAAAATAAAACTGTAAAATCAGCCTTGCTTCATTTGTTTTATATTTTCACTTATTGCTGATGAGATCCTTTATTAGGATCCCGTTCTTCTTTTTGGTAAACTGGTCCTTTCTTCAAAAATCGAACCCATTTGAGGAGCACGAGGTCAAGCTGTTGTCTAGCCCGCAATCGCAAATAGTCTCTTGACTAAGACACGTGAAAATATGTTCATTAAAGGATGCGTACATTCTATTAAAGGTTTAGTATGGCTTTGAAATCCGATGATAAAAAGCTAATCCCGGATATATGTTTGCTTAGTCCATTAATCTCCTAGAATAGTTGTATATTTATTTTCCGTTTTTAAATTAAGGACAGAATGGTAAGAAATTCAATTAAAATCAATAAAATTAGACAGCTTTACGTTCACTTGGTTTAGGTTGCCATTAGTTTATACGCACTTTCTAAGCGTACTGCTCGAAAACATAGCAAAAATTTTCCCATGTTTTGATGCCCTCACGCAGTGGAAATAAAATTATAATATTGCAATACAGGTGGCTCATTGAGTGCGCTCCTCAAAGTAAATCAACCAATAAATGTAGATAAAAGGCTAAAAAAAAAGAAAAAGAAAAACTGACCAGAGCCACTAAAAAGGCGATCTCCCTTGCAATAGAAAGAAAATTTAACCTTCTAGCCATTGGGGTGACTCCTGTAGTCACAGGGAAAGTTTAATTTGTTATAAATTGTGAGGACAAAAACGCAAATATAAGATGAGTTACGAATAAAAATGATGATTTGGCCTTTTGCTCTTCTTATCTAGACCTTCGCGTGCAACAAACGGTTTGTAGTCCCTGGACTGGGCAGACACTTTAAGCCACGTGGAAGTTCGTCACAAGGGATAAGGACTCTTACGTGTCTTTGGTCAACGGAAACCGATGAATTGTTCAACAAAATGTGCAATAAACATATTTTTTTAGCTCAGAAAGGATAAATCTTAAATCTTTAATCTAAGCCTTTAAGTTTCCTGCCAAAGACTTGCTAACATACGTCACACAGAAACGCGTCAACAGAGGTTCAATTATATTGGGCAATTAAACACACCTGGAGAGCATACTCCCGGCAGAAATTTTTCTTAATGTGTTCTTTGTTCACTGCATACGGAATTAACTAATGCCATGTTTAAAACAAATAAGGCTTTTATCCACTTGCGACTCCATGGAATATTTGAAAAGCAATTGTTATCCAGGATTCCTTAACACAGCTCCATGGAAAGATAAGTGACATCTTTACCTAGCCTTGAACCCCTCTTTCCCAAAGGCAATATCTCATTTGAATAACTCGAAGAAAAAAAAAAAAAAAACCGACAAGTATAAGACTTCGATTGCCCCCTGTTGCCTGACCAACAAGCCAAGCTAAATGCATGCAAAATATTTCCGTCTCGTCTCCAATTTTTGACCAAAAACTTAATTCATTAAATAAATCTTGTTCACAAGATTATCGGTGTTTGTTTCAGCTTCCTTAACTATTAGGGTAATATATATTGATTCACAGTTTTTAGGTTGCCAGTAGACGTCACCATTAGCACGAGAGAGCTTCTTGGGGTTTAAAAACTCTTTAATTACAAGACAATAGTAAAGTTCACTGGACTTCACCTTAAAACACTGGTTGCCTTCCAATCTGCTCCCCACTGTTGGCCACCTATTAACGATGGATTTCAAGCGCATCTCTATCTTAATTAGCTTCTGGCTGATTTTAAGCTATATCTTGTTAGACCACTCTCAAGGATTTGAAAACAGGTTGAGTAGCAGAAGAGTTCGAAGAAAACTTCAGAGACAAGAACAACCAAATCGAAGACATAAACAAAGCGGAAAGGAAATGGCTCTTTCAATGTTCTCGCGGTTCGTGGTATGTAAGTTTGGCTATTAGTGAAAATATACGTGCTGTGTGCTTTTCTGAAAAATTCACTAAGCTCTTATTATTAAAGTTAAGATTACGGAAGAAAGTCGGCAATCATGGGCGAAAAAGATGGATACCGAGTGTTCCAACGAAACTACCAAAATTAATCGTTAAGTGGTAAACTTTTTCTTTAAGTAGTTTGATTGTTTGTTTGTATATTTTGCGTTTTTGTCTTTAAGTGCAACGTCTATTTCTTATCTGCCGCCCTTCCTTTGAGCAGTAAGGTATTTCCAACGCAGTGTTCAGCTCCATGAAAAGCAATCGGATCTCTTCTCTCTTTCAGGCCATCACTCATTTGTAGTGAATGCAGTAACTGTAGTGCTCTGTTATTTCCCTGAGTCATATGGCCTTTGCATTAATGAGGTTGCAGTCAATGAAAATGGCCTGTTAAGTTAATTGTTGGAAACTGAGTGGAAAAGAACCCGGAAAATATTTATGAATGTACAGGTTATTGACTGACTAATTGATGTTTTTAATGTTTCTATTTATTTGATAGAACGCATCCATGAGGCATTCGAATTCTATCAGGCACAGTGCTTCCCAGCAGGTCAAAGATAAATTGCATAGCATCGTTACCCAAGATGACTCCAAACTGAGCGCCGTCCGGTTAAGTGTGAGGACGAAGCAGGCCAATGGCAAGAACAAAACGAGTACGGCGTCCAAAGAGAAAACTTTAAAGCTTAATTAAAGGTAGCATGAACGTCGCCTTGTTAAAATTCGATACGCACTAATCGGTTTGATAGTAAATTACTGTCTAGGTAAAATTAGGGTCTGCTTGGGTCAGTTTTAGGTTTTCTATGAGTCGTTGAAAAGATCCCTTCCACGTACTGTACAATAAGTTTTTCAGGCATATTGTACCGATAGAGCAGGTAGCTTTTGGACTCAAAAGGTTTTTAGACAGTTGTCTAGTTAATTGGGTATTCATTTGCTTATTTTCCAATTATTTATGTTTTGTTTCACTGAATTTGTCGTACAAAGAAGGTACAATTATAGTAGAGTAGAACCCCAGTGACTCTCGAACTAGGATAACTCAGACTCCTTCGATTATAACTTCAAGCGTTTAATTGGTCTAAACCTAAATAACTTTGGTGAAATTTACATATCCCAAGGGCTAGACTGAGCGTTTTTCTCTCTTGATTATTCTCTCTTAGTCTTTTGCGACCTTGCCTATAGTTAACAGAAATGGTTGCCTCTGTCGAACTGCGTACTTTTCACTGATTCAGGTTTGAAAGAGAAATGCCCTTCAGCATCATTCTTAGTTATCTAAGGTATTTCACTGGGCTCATCTCACGGTCGCTCTGCAAGTTAATTTTTTGATCTTCTTCAATTCTTGATATCCTGCTTGAAAAAAGCATAGGCCAAGGAGTTTACAGCAGAGTTCAAAACTACTGGAAAAACAGCTATTCTGCAAATATAGCCATCGAATTCATCAGTTATGAATTTTGTAGTACAACGGGCATGAAGTGCACAATAAATAAGAACCAAGGCTACGACCATGTTTATCATAATCAATACTGAATGCTTGCGGCGGTTATTGAACGGTAGCTGTCTCAGGGTATGTGCGGCATTGTGTTTCTTTTAAATAACCCGTAACATTGATGCAAGACAAAAAAAAAATGTCAGTTATGGGAAGGCACGTAAAATGATAACAACTAGCAGTCGGAAGGTATCGAAGACAAACGGTCCGCTGTTGGGGTAACTGCGACCGATCACTTCTATCAAAAACAACGGGTAAGGTGACAAGAATGCCCGCCACTTCCAGCCGCTAGCTGTCTTTCCTTTAAGTTTACACCTAACTTTTTTCGTTTGTTATTAA